ATACACTTTTAAGCATTTTTGGGGTCGCTGAATACGAATCTGAAGTCAGATTTTAAAAATTCAAAATGGCGGATCCAAAATGGTGGTCGATTTTTAAAAATTTAATATTTTTCCTCAAAGCTTACTACTTGGGGGTTTTCGGGGTCGTAGAATACGAATCTGAAGTCAAATTTTAAAAATTCAAAATGGCGGATCCAAAATGGTGGTCGATTTTTGTTAAAACTAAATATTTTTTCTCAAAACTGGTTACTCGGGGGTTTTTGGGGTCGCTGAATACGAATCTGAAGTAAGAATTTAAAAATTCAAAATGGCGGATCCAAAATGGCTGTCCATTTTCGTTAAAATTCAATTTTTTCTCAAAACTGGTTACTCGGGGGTTTTCGGTGTGGATGAATTAATTATAAAATTAGATTTTTTTGATTAAATATGTTATTCGGGTGTTTTAAAGGTCGATTATTTTTAAAACAAAGGAGCACTTGTATATTTTTTAGCCAAGTGTCTTTGAAACCTTTTATGAACGATAGCATTGTAATTAAAAGTGTATATTTTTTAGAGCTTTATGATTTTACCTATGTAAAAGAAAGATTTAAATATCAAAAGTCCTTACAAACACTTTACTACTCATTAATTTTACATATTATTTTTTTATTTTTCATATGCGCTTAGTTTTTTATTATTATTATTTTATTTACAACATATTCGCATTCAGCGACCCCAAAAATCCCCGAGTAACCAGTTTTGAGAAAAAAATTGAGTTTTAACAAAAATCGACCACCATTTTGGATCCGCCATTTTGAATTTAAAAATCTGACTTCAGATTCGTATTCAGCGACCCCAAAAACCCCCGAGTAACCAGTTTTGAGAAAAAATTGAGTTATAACAAAAAATCGACCACCATTTTGGATCCGCCATTTTGAATTTAAAAATCTGACTTCAGATTCGTATTCAGCGACCCCAAAAACCCCCGAGTAACCAGTTTTGAGAAAAAATATTTAGTTTTAACAAAAATCGACCACCATTTTGGATCCGCCATTTTGAATTTTTAAAATTTGACTTCAGATTCGTATTCTACGACCCCGAAAACCCCCAAGTAGTAAGCTTTGAGGAAAAATATTAAATTTTTAAAAATCGACCACCATTTTGGATCCGCCATTTTGAATTTTTAAAATCTGACTTCAGATTCGTATTCAGCGACCCCAAAAATGCTTAAAAGTGTATTTTTTGATTCAATTTAATTAATTTTGGAAATTTTATTCATGTTTGTATTTGTCGAATCGTGACATTGATGACTTATATCACATCTACAGGCGCCGTCATATTGAATTTCTGAAATCGCCCATCTGCTTTCGAAAGTACAAGAGTGTACAAGTTTTTTCAGCCCTTAAACGATTTTTTTTATCAAGCCAATTTTTGGCTAGAGCTCTGTTCCGTTTGACGTGGAACGTCCCATATATATATATATATATATATATATATATATATATATATATATGTTAACAACAGTTTAAAAGTACTTATATGCAAAAAAGGCTTGTCACATTTATAAATATAAAAAATAAATAAAGCAAAATGTAATTCATGTGTATTTTTGAAATATTTTATCAAAACTTTGAGAATATATATCTAGAAAAATTCAAAAAAATTAAATAATTAAAATATTTCAGAACACTGCAAAATAGTTAAAATTATTTCCCGTTATCAATAAATCTCAAGATAATACTTAGTACCAATGGAATTTAGAATTTTTTAATTATATTAGATATTCCAACACTTTAAAATATTTTACACACTTCTAAAAATATTCCTTCAAACTTAACGAAACCTTGTATATAATTTTTTATTATTATTATTATTATTATCTAGAAACATTATGGAAACTTCTAGAACCTTTCTAGAATTTTCAAGAAACTTTATGGAATCTTTTTAGAAACTTTAGAAATTTAAAATTTTTAGAAAATTTATGGAAACTTCATGAAGATATTGTTATTACAATATGGAATTTTTATTTTTTTTTTTTAGAAATTTTTCGAAATTTTTTGAAATTTTTTCGATATCTCTAGATAATTTATAAAATTGATTGGAAACTTTGTACAAATGTTTAGAATTTTTGTAGAAAACGGAAAAAAAGATTTACCTGGAGCAGCGAATTTTATTCAGTTTCAGTTCAGAGTTGTCACAAAAATTTCAAAATAAATTTCCTTGACTTCCAGATAAAAATTTTTGTATTTTTTCCTGACATTTTCATTTTTTCCATCAAATAAAAATTCTTTCAAAAATTGTGTTAAATGAAATTTCGATCAAATAAAACTTGGGTCAAATAAAAATTTACAAATAATTTTGTAAAATTGTTGGTTTGTTATATAATAAATTCATAACAAAGGAATATCTTAAGGGAAGAAAAGGAAATTTTAATATTTGACCATTTTAGAATTTTTATTTTTTTAAAAAATTAATATTTTTGAAAATCCACGCAAGAAATTCTTAAGAATCATTAAAAAAAAATGTGGAAAAAAATTGGCGATGAAAAATAGTCAAAATTTTAAAAGAAGATAGATATTTAAAGCATAAATTTTTTTAAGACTTTAATTTCCAAAATGGTCAAAAATTAAAATTTTATTTTTTTTACCATCCTGTATGTTTTTAGAAGCGAAATGATGCAAGAAAAAAAAACATAACTTCCTGCGATCATTTAAATTTAGAGGACTCAAAATAACTCTCCCTAACTAAGGACTTTCTCCTTAATGGAAATCTCGGTTTACAATATTTTTCCAACCCTTTTTATTGAATTCCCACGATTCTGAATTTTTAAAAACCAACTTCAAATAAATTCGTAATCAACGACTCCAAAAACCTCCTAAATAAAAAGTTTAAGGCAAATCTTATCAAATTTTTATATTTTTGGCGCCATTTTGGATCAGTCATTTTGAATTTTCATAAACCGACTTCAAATTCGTAATCAGCGACCCGAAAAACCCCCGAGTAGAATGTTTCAGGCAAATCTGATAAAGTTTTAGAAAATCGTCCGCCATTTTGAATCCGCCATTTTGATTTTTGAAAATTAACTTCAGAATCATCATATATTCGTAGTCAGTGACCCCCCCCCCCCGAAGCCCTTAATCTGGCTTGTCTAAATAATTCAACAAATTTTTGAAGCTTTAACAACAACTTCTGTTCTTTTTTCAATTTCCATTTTATTAATTTTATTTTAAAATATGATTTCATTTCTTCTTGCTCTTTTTTTTGTTCCATTTCGATTTAAAATCTAAAGAAAAAAATTATGAATGTGAAATAAGAGAGAGTGATTTACTCTATAATCTCTCTTGCACTAATCATTTTCTGCTTTTTTTATTTTTAAATAATTTAAATTTTTGATAAATTGAAAAGTATAATGTGAAGTTAGTGAAAAGAAATTTTTTAGTCTCTTAAAGTAGTCACTGAAATGGTTAATTTAAAAAATTACATTCTGTAAATAAAAAAAAACATTCTTTAAGAACAATATTTTTTACTACCTACAGTTGTAATTATGTTTATTTTTCTTTTTTATAAATTATTTATTAATAACAAAGGAAAATAATATATTATATCATGTAAGTGTTATTAAGATGTATTACATATTTTAAAATTATCGCGCGCTAATTATTGCGACATATAAGTTGGCTTTAACTGAATAGGTTATGTTCATTACAACGTAACAGCTGTACACTAATCTAAAAGCATAATAAAAAACTTGAAGGAGATTAGAAAATTTATTTCCGCCTTGTGTAGAATAGTGTTATAATGATTCATTTTTTGTAAATATGCAATTTAAACATTTTCAATGTTTGTGTTTTTGATAAATAAGATTCATGTATAATATAAAATTTAAATATTAGCGCTTATTTTTGACGAAATCAACTTGAGCTCCACCTGTACATTTTTAATCTAGAAATATGTTTCGCCCTTCTATTGAGATTTTACATTCCCAATGCTTTTAATTAAAAGTTCGATTTTTTCGCGATATATCCATTAGACCTTTTTATGTCATGTATTTTTTTATTCCAGACGCCATATTTATCGTCCATATTTATATTTTCAAAAACACTAAATGGCAAATGAAATTAGACATCTTAAGCTACAATTTCATGTATTGAATGAGTTTTTAATTCACGGAGAAAAATGGGCAGAGAATGTCCCTTAAATTTTAATTTAATAAACTTTAATTTTTTAATATAATGGGTGTTTTCGGGATTTGCTGTGACTATAGTGCAATATGTTGTGATTGGCTGATCCATCAGCATGTTTATTCTGATTGGGTAATTTTTTACTGTCAGTATACTGTCAGCAACTCCCGAAAACACCCAATGTATTAATTATAAAACCAAAAATCTTACCTTGTACTCCATTCGTCGATATCCGACCTCTATATCCTGGAACGGCACTGAAACGTAGTTTTTCCAGATTGAAAAAACACTCACACGCGATTTTAAGAATATTCGAACACTCCCGGTAACATACTATTGACAAAATTATGTTAAATATATATATATGCACGGAGAAAAAAGATTTCTTTTATAAAGTAACTTTTACTACTTTCAGAGTAAAACTGGACCAACTCGAAGTTTCTGCGCATCTCTGTCAATTTTTACTCCAAAAATAGTAAAATTTACTCTAGAAATAGTAAAACTTACTACGGAAACAGTAAAATTTACTACAGAAATAATAAATTTTACTATTTTTGGAGTAAAAATTGCCAGAGATGCGCAGAAACTTCGAGTTGGTCCAGTTTTACTCTGAAAGTAGTAAAAATTACTTTTTCTTTTTCTCCGTGTGTTATTAAACAAATGCAGTTAAACAATTTAGGACATTAGAGAAAAACATATTTAAAAAATACATTTTAAGTTTTCACGTTTTTATTCGTTCTCGCCGAAAAAATAAATATACCACAGTTAACAGGACGATTCACAAATATAAACTGACTTTAAAATGTATTTCCTATTATTAACAAATTTTACTATACTTACCGGTCATGACCTCTGCTATATAATCAAACTAAGTGTACACGCAGCTCAATCGCAAATCAACACACTGCCTGAATATTGAGACGAAAGTCCCGAAGTCCTTGTTTTGTTGCATTTTCCTTGAAAAACAAAAGACCCAAACGACTATTATTAAGTATTTTTATTTCCAATTCACATATTTAAGTAAATAATTTTTCTCTTTTTATTTACATTAACACAACCAAAAATATATTATGTTAATTTAATAAAATATTTAATATATTTATAAATGAAAAATTATTTTAATTTTTTTTTTTTTAATTTTATTTTTTTTCATAATTTAACAGCTCTATTTATAAATGAAGATAAGTAACATTCTTTTAACAAGATTACATTTAGTAGAAAAAAGCAGATTACAAATTATATAAGTATAATGTTGACAATTTGTTTTAAATAGTAATAATAATAAATAGAGTTGCATAAAAATGATAACATATTTTACTGAAAATATCCAGCAAAAAAAAAAATCACGAAATTAGCATGCATTATCTGAAAATTAACAGGGTGATTAAATGTGACATGATTTGAGAGCATTGTGGGGTGATAATTATTTCGGATGGGCAGATGTTAAGGGTTGTATTTTCCTCATCCACCTCGTGTTCGTTGTACATTCATGGTGACCAAACGGGGGATAAATTACAGAGTCGTTGTCCTCGCCATTGTATTTAACTATACGGCAATGCGTAATTACTAGAATGCAGCATCCTGCAAACGAGATCAAGTAGAGAGAAGGAGCAAAAGAGAGAGAATGAGAGAGTTGGAGAAACAACGAAAATGGGGTTGCCTCTGTGGTTGAACAAACAGCCATTGCAATGGCCATTAGGGGTCTCTAGTCTTCCGCCAGTGGCTCACTAAATTTCGCCTTCTTGCGCCACCACACCTTGCAATGTCGCAAATTAATGGCCACAGGACATTGTTTATCGCAAAAACAAACATGCATTTACTTTACGCTTAAAACAATATATTTTCATTAATTGTGCCAGCACTGTAGAAATTTACTTAAAAAATGTTTATTTTTATTCATTCTCAGTATACATAATATATATAAAATAAAGTGGAAATAATTGAATCATAAATATTGAAATCCGCAAATACTACAAAGGAATATATTTATATATTACATTTGAAAATTATTCAATATTTAAAAAATTATCCTATTTTCTTCTGAAAAGCCGCGGTAAGCAAGAAAAATAAAATTCATAACTGCTGACAAAATAAATATCTATCTTACCATCAGTCAAGGGTATTCTATGATACATACATTTGTTCGTCTGTTCACAAGCAATAAGCTCCAATTTGAAAAATTCAAATCGAATAATCGCCGCAAAAGATATTTACAAAAATGTATAGACATTTCATTATTATAAAATAATGAGTAACGCTACTTTCAACGACTATCATTTCTTTTTATTTAAGAGCACATATTTTTTATTACTTTCAAAACATTCTTCAATAAAGGGATTCAAAAATTTATTTCTTATTTACTGTAGTTGATGTAGAGATCTACCTTACCATCAATAAATGAGGAGGAAAGAGGTCGTTTATAAACTACGTCACGCTATTTTAATCCATTTTTGAATCCCCCCTCTCCCACGTCAAACTGCTTACCGGGTACTAATAATATATAGTAATTTACCATACCATCAGTCGATAAAGAGGGAAGACACTGCTTACCAGCAGTTAATAATATACTAATCTACCTAATCATCAGTCGGAAAAGAAGAAGATAGTAATTTACTTTCTACCGACTGCTGATAACATAGAAATCTACTTTACCATCAATGGATAAAAAATCAGGATTTCTTCAAACAGATGAAAAAAATCTTTTTATATCGTTTGTTTATATGCTTTAAATACAGATTTAATGGATTAAATGATTTAAATGGGTTAAATAATTTTTAGTTTAACTAAATAAATTTTTTTTCCGATGAGCATAGCAAATATTACCGACCGTATTAAAAAATATGTAAAATAGAATTTTACTTTTACATATTTCAAAGAAGAAACTTCAACAAAAAATTACATTCAAATCCAATGTCAATTTTCTCGGATTATATTAAGTAAAATCTTGTGTTAATTATAGTTATATATTATTCAAGATGAACGTTTAATTAAGCTAAAACTATTACTTAATATAACCTAACATTTTTTGCTTTATATATATATATATTTATTTGGAAGAGAAAAATTTAAAAATCAAAAAGTAAAGTTGTTAATTATAGGTTTATCTGTGCATGCGAGGGCGTGTCGTAATTGTCACTATATATGTATATACTCGCAAAGTTTTGGCGGTGTCACAAGGCGACACAATAATTGATCTGAAATTAACGAGCTACCACGTATATTTATTCCTGTTTGTTGACAGTATATGTACGAAAAAGGTGAGTATGACAGGAAAAAGTTCTCTCTCTATATATATATATACACCTCTCGAGAATAATGATACGTCTTCAAATGTGGGAAACGAATTGCGTGGCGAACGTTTGACAGATGCGGGTGATGATTTTAATGGAAGGGGAATTATCGTCGATCTCCGGGGAAACTTTCACGTTAAACATATTATATATATTACGATTCGATCTTTGTTTATTCCATCTTCCTAATTAAAATATTCGAGCACATTACTGGAATTAATTTAAGATAAATGTTATATGCTATCAGAAAAAAGTATAAGCACACTTTCGAGTAATTACACATATATACATTTCGTTTTAATGATTTGCACAATTTATGATAACATATTTTTCTTCTGATAACAGTATATGAATGTTAATTTATTATATGTGACGCGTCGCGAAGAATAAGAAACCTTAGAAACAAAAAATTATAGGTTATATTTTGAAATTTTAAAGTGACAATATATACAAAAAGTATAAAAATATTAATGCAAACCAATGATGTTTAAAACTTTTCGATGTTTAAAATAAACAATAAAAACAGATTTTGATGTTGCGAAAACGAAAAAAAAACTTTTTACCAAGGTAAAACTGTTGTAATCATAACCTATAATTCATTTGCTTCTAAGGTATACGTTTCTTCGCGACGCGTCACATATATTTATAATTGATTTTTCCTTATACTTCAATAGACGATATAAAATATAATTATAGGTACTGTAATGATAGTTAGAAATCCGCCCATAAATATTTATCCCAAATATTGTCATGCGTCGATAAACATGTTACCGACCGCGGAGCGTAGCAATGTAGTACCCGATTTCGACGCGTGAGACGCATCGCCGAGCCCTCTCGCGTGCGCCCAGGCCACCGATCGGCTATATAAGCTACGCTGCCGCTGATGATCGTCACTCTCGTGCTACACGGAGTCCAGGAGTGTCTTAATCCTACTAGGTGTTTTACCCGAGGAGCCTTATTCTAGGCGTTTTACTCCGAACAAGTATCGTGGAGAGTTTTACTCTCGCGTCGACGTGGTTTTACCCGTTGAAGTAGTAAATTGGTTTTTGTAATATAGTGTAAAATTACCGTAAAGTAACGTAACGAAAATGTATAGTAACGTAATATTATATTCACGCAGTTTAAAATAGATTTTTCCGTTTTATTACCGTTGTATAAATTAAACAAGAGTTTTACTCGTGGTTCTCCAGTATATCGCGGATTTTTAGGCAGTATAGAGTAAATGATTCCACGGCACATCGCAGCGAGTTGAAGCGGCTCAACCTATTTCGATAGACGCCGATAATATCACTTGAAACCGACTTCAACGATCCTCTTGTAATCTCCGTATAATTTTGACAATTGTAAATATACCGTTGTAAATAAATAATTTGTTTCAGTTTGTAATTAACCTTGTTATCATTTTTTGTTTTGAATCAATAAATGAACCCTGGCTCGGCGAGCTAAATATTGATTCCTTAATTACAAACGTTACAGTACTTCAAAAAAAAAAAAACTTCAGGATATTTTGAAATGCGTACTTGAAAATATTCCAAATTTTTAAAAATGTACTTTTTAAACATGCAGCAACCTTGCCGCGCAATATTGCCAACCTTGCACGGCAAGCTTCAAATGTCCAACCTGACCCAAGCTTGCATGGTAACCTTCTAGCAAGGTTCGTGCAAGGTTGACTATTTGTCAACCTTACAAGATTGCTCAGTAATCCTCCCGAAAGATTGTAGTGTAAGGTTACTACAAGATTGCACAATAAGATTATCGCAAGATTGCTCAGTAAGCTTGAACGGTAAGCTTGTTGCAAGGTTTCCAAATAACCTTGCTTTAAACCTAAAAAAATTTTTTTTAAAAATGTTTTGTCAAATTAATACAATTTTATTATATAAATTTGATTATATAAATCAGACAAAACATTGAAAAAATTTTTTTTTTACGTTTAAAGCAAGGTTATTTGGCAACCTTGCTACAAGCTTACTGAGAAATCTTGCGGTAATCTTATTGTGCAATCTTAGAGTTACCTTACACTGTAATCTTTCGGTAGGTTTACTGAGCAATCTTTCGGTAAGCTTACCATGCAAGTTTGGGTCAGGTGGGACATTTGAAGCTTGCGGCAAGTTTGCCATGCAAGGTTGGCAATATTGTATGGTAAGTTTGCTGCAAGTTTACATGCTATCTGGGAAGTTTATTCATGTTTTTGAACTTTTCATTTATATTGTTTATAATTTTACATTTACTTAATAAAAAATAATAAATGTCAAAGTTCATAAACTTATTTTTATACAAATTAATCATTATTAATTATTATTTCTTAATTATTTATAATAATTGTTGTAAAAAAAACAATTTTAGAAAATGCGTTGACTGTTATTTAAATTAAAAATGATTTGAAACGAATATATTATTTATGTAACCTATGTATCGAATGCATATATATAATTCACGAAAGCGTCGTCGTAATAGGAAGAGGAGGATCTGCATTTATTTTGCCTGCACCACCCTTAACACACATTGTGCTCGAAGGTAACTTGTCTTTCTTGTCCTATGTCTTGTCTCAGAATTGATTTATAACGTAATAACCTTTTAATAACTTGCAATAAATTATGTGCAATGTTGTAATAATCGACTATTTTAAGGCAAAAGCAAAATAAATAAAAAAAAGTTTATATTTCCTCTCAAGCAATATGTCATTAATTAATCATTTTTCACACTTATATATATTCAAGTTAAGTGTCATATTTTAATTTTAATCTTTTATATATTGTTCAAACATTTTTTTCTTGCACTCATTTAATCGTGTTGTTTGTTAGTTTTGTTTTTAGTTGGAGTTTATTTTATTTCTCTATTTATTAAAACATATATAAAAAGATCAATAATTCTGCAAGAAAATATTTCTGCAATATTTTTATATAAAATATTAAAATAGAATATTTTATTTGCAATATAATTCAATGAAATATTTCAGAACATTTCAATGGAATAATATTATAGTATACATCAAAGGCATATTTTAGTAATATATAAATACTTCCGGAATCTCTTAAAAATATACTTGTAAATATTTCAATGGAATCGTCCCGAAATATATATATATATATATATATATAAAATGGAACATTTTCCACTGTTGGGTTAACAAAAATATACAATGTAAATGGAATTTTTTTCATAGTAAACAAAATGAAATATTTTTTTAAGAAAAACTATATGTAATAAAAGTTTTCAAATTTTTTAAGAGCATAATTAATATTTCGGTAAAAGGATAAATAAGGAAAGGTAAAAATTTGTTTCCCAAAATAAAACAACGTTTTTTCATTGTACTTCTTATTTTAATCATTTTCTCAATATGGATTACACCGAATATTTCGCTACAAGTTAATAGTAAGCGTTATACGTGACACTGGGATGCTTTTTCTTGCTATAAATTCTACATTTAACGTTTATTATAATATATCTTTAACAGACGAATGTCATGAGATCGTTTTTATAAATCCTGAATTATATATATATATATATATATATACATTTTATGGGAATTTATTTATAGATATAATATATATATATATATATCTCTTGATAAAATTGTATGTAACACGTTATCTTACACTTTCTTATTTACAAAATTTATTTACAATCAAATAAATATTTTAAAGACATCGTCTTAATCGACCTTTCCTCTTTTACATATATTTATACATATAAATTTATTTATAAACTCTCTACCTACAAATACAGCCAATAAATACAGTCGACATCAGTTTTACAGATTATTATAGAGCTACTTGTTCTGATAATATCTATATTTCTTTGAAAAATGATTTTTCTTTTTTTTTGTATATATACTTTTTTATGCGTTTGAAGAAATATTTACAAATATTTGTACGTCTCTTTAACGAAAATTCGATAAATTTAGATACATTAAAAAAAAATTAATTATTTCTAAAACTGATCAATTTTCAAGGATAATTCAACTTTTATTATATCGAATGAAATTTTTCATTATTTGAAAAAGAACCTGATAAAAAAAATTAACACTCTGGTAAGTGATATTCTACAATACTAGATGATAAAGCTTGATAAAAATCTACACACCGGTATAGATTCTCTTTCTTTTCTCTCTCTCTCTCTCTCCCTCTCTCTCTGTTTAAAATTACACTCACATACTTGATGAATTGTACATCTAGATATTTTTCCCAAAGCATCGTAAGAAGTGAATCAATTTTTTCGATATTTTACGAGCAAAATCGTTGCAATTCCAATCCTTGTAATTCCTGCTTCCATTTTTGTACATAAGCATCTGGGAATCTTCTGCAATCGCGTCATCCGTTGAGTTATCGTTCATCTCTTCTATTTCTCTCTTCATCAATCTTTTTCCTTCTCTCTTATCTTTCGTAAGGAGAAATCGCAAAGAATTTTGCAGAAGGTGTCACTGGTTTTCTATCCATTGAAGAGGCTGGAGGGAGGGGTTTTTTTTTTTTAACGACTGTTGACTTTCTCTGTCGTCGATTTCTTCGTCATCCTCATCGACTGGAACTGTCGAGTGATTGTAGAGACCCTGAGCCATCAACTGAAGAGCAAGTGGATTCTTCTGACCAGTGGATTTCTTGATCTTCGCCCTCTTGTTCTGGAACCAGATCTTGATTTGGGCCTCGTTCAAACCCAAGTCTCTCGAGAGTTGCTGTCTTCGTCTCTCAGTCAAGTATCTGTTCTCAGTGAATTCCCTCTTTAGTCGCGCCAACTGTTCCGCACTGAAGGCCGTTCTAGGTCGTTTCTCGTCAGATGGAGGACTGCTGTTGGTCTTATTGTCACCAATCGAACGTTTCACTCGTCTTGATCGGGGTCCTGAAAAAACATCAAAAACAAAAAGGTTAAAACCAATCAAAAATTCATATTTAATAAAACTCTATTAAAAATTATTTATTTATACAAAATAATTGAAAATTTCAAGTAAACATATATATATATATATATATATTTTTTTTTCACAAGAAATGTGAAATCGCAACATGAAATCAATTATTGCATTATTAATTCATTGCAAGTTGTTACTTTCTGATTCGTTCGATTATTATCTCCCTTATTTTCCTTTGTATGAATGGAAAACATAATTATAAATTGTAACTAGGTGTATAGAATAACGATCGGGAGACTTTATATAAATATTAAATAAAATTAGAAACCTGTCGTGCGAACCAATTTTTTTTGTAGAGAACAATTTTTTCAATGATATATCTGAATGGATAAATATTGAGTAATAGTGACAGCGATGTGGGATTCTATTTTTGTTGAATTTTAGGAAGGAATAAATTCACCAACTAATAAAAATTCATATAATTTATATATTCGTTTATAAAATAGAGAAAAATTCAAAGATGTTAAAAATTGATAAAAGGACAAAAAAAAACTAATATGAGAAAAGATGAATGATTCTTTTCCTTTAAGTATTACAATTTTATTGCAATTCTATATATTCTATTCACTTTTATGATGAGCGAATAAGCTCTATAGCTAATAATTCACGGCTACTGTACATATAAGTGTACTTAATAAAAAATGCATGTACACTTCTATATGTATATAGTTGCAGGTATAAGAAAGAGGGCACAATGTCTTGTTATACCGCACGTCTAGGCTTTCGAGTTATCGTGGCGAATTCAACAAAAGAAGAAGTATTTAATTGTTAGGGGTAGGTCATGGTTCTAACTGTGAAACAATTAAACCCTGTGAAAGTTAGCAGCTGCTATTTCAACGTCCATTAACCTCCAGAGTCGATTGTACACAACACGTTACTAAATATAGCCCCATCTCTATATGTATATTTATATACCTTTATGTCCTAATATATACTTCTTTCACTATATATATAATAATGATCCTATTTATTTATTTATTTTGTAAACTGCAAATGTGTCTTTATATCCTTGTAAAACTGAATTAAAATAAAAGTGCATGTGCAATTATATCCCTAACATTCATGACTTGGAGGCAGAAATTGGTATACATATATACCACAAACTTTAAGGTAATATTTTTATTTTAAACAGAAAAATTAAGTTAAAAATTTTCTCAATTATCTTCCTTAAAGATTTTTTATGTAAATAAAATTTCTTTTCTTTTCAATTAGTCTTTTAATCCACATTATATGATATTAGTGCGATTATTCCATTTACTTTGATAATAATAAAAAATTGGTTGTAGCATTACCTTGAAATTAGCTAATAAAACTTAAAATAGAAAATTCTACAAAAATAGAATCCCACCGCTGTCACTACATAAAAAAAATTTCGCAAATAACATTTGAGTTTAACTTCAAATTAGTAAATAAAAAATTAGTATTCAGAATCAGAAAGTAACATCAATTTATATTATATACACATATGAAATAAAAAGAATTTATATATTTATAGTGAAATGTAAAATTCAACTCACCAGAAGAAGGTCTGTCCGAATATCTAGTGCAGTAAATCCAGGCAGGCCAAACGCTTTGTCCATTGCCACCATTGGTTGATGTTGAGCCGGTTCCTGTGGATGCTGCATTTCCGTTGTTACTTTCACCGCTAATGGATTCCCCGCTGATGGTGGACGAGGTCGAGCACAAGGACGGAGCGCCGGTGACAGAGCTGCCAGTCACAGAACTCCTATTGCTAGCAAGACTTTCAAGACTTCCGCTCCTACTGAGTCCGGAATGCCTTTGGAGTGGCGACGTTAAGCCGCAATGGGACGAAAAGGAGGAATCTCGGTCCCTTTGACTGAAATTCGTTGTTGTTGTTGTTGTCGTCGACGGCGGTGATTGAGGTGACGATAATCTCGATGAAGAAAGACTTAAATCACGCGGCAGTGGAATAGGACTATGAGCAATTGGCTTGACAATTGTTGTCGATTTTGTTGATGAACTTTTTGTATTTAAAATTGCCTCTTTGCCAAAATCGGGTCGCAAAATATTAACAACACTGAACCTTAAGGCTGTGGATTCAGATTCCGAACGTTCATCATGATGAATCTGTTGTCTTGAGATCACGTGACTCTCGGCCATTGGCGGCGAGCACGTACGATGATGATGATGATGAAGTAGTGGATGATGAAGATGATGACTCGCGAGACCTCCCAATCGCAATCCATAAGCCGACTCCATGCTTACTAATGCAACACTCATGATTAACTTTAAAAATATCTCAATATATTCTTCACCAAAGCTGAAGAAATTATTACAACTTCAACTTTTAGATACACTTCATGTTCAATTGAAAATCAAATTTAAATCGCACTTATTAGTCACTATTTTCTTTTTAAAAAGTGTTTATACAGCACTTAATTTTTCAGAACACGTGATCACTCTTTGCAAAAATGATCAAAATCTTTTAAAGACAATTCCTAAGGCAGGTGAGAAATCTCTGGTAAATTAGTCCAGTGATGCTGAGCACAACGCAACTGTTTGGAAAGAGATTTTTCCCGGTGGTTTCCGAGTACTCGAGCGACTGCCGTGACGGGTCTGACTGGCTGTCCATCCGTCGCTCAGTGATGTCTAAACTATGGTCCTGAGTTCCCTACTTACCACTCCCCCCCTTCCCTCTACACTCCTCCTACGCGAAGCTGAGTGCAGTGCACTAGACACCCTCGATTGTATCTCTATTAAAGTTCTGACCGTACGCTCCGCCTATCATGGAACGTCTCCACGGTGAGGTATTCCTCAAATCCCTTCCACTCACAAATACATAAAGGTGGGGAGAACTTTCGATTCCCCCCCACATTCGACTCTTATTTCCCCTACCCACGCCAACGTTTCTTCTTAATTCAAAATCTCGTGATTCTGGTTATATTATATTCAATTTAAAAAATTTTAAATAATACAAATTTTGGAAAAAAATTAAATTTTTCTATGATAAAAAATAAATAAAGTGAAAAAAAAAAATAATAATTTGCCCACGCCACTGTAGAGAAGTTCCCCTCCCACTTTAAGATCGACATTTGGTGGGGGTACCCCGCCCGCCATCTTGCCCCACCTCTTTTGAATGTTCACGCCCCCAGTGACAGGCGCTAAAAGGTCCTCCGCCTCTGATAAAGTCCCTACCATTTCTGTCTCTTTCTCTCATCTCTTCTCCAATGTCCTTTTCCCCCTTTATTCAATTCACCTTAATGCTGCTGAAGAGCCAACATTTCGGCTAATTCATTTCTTCTGATCGACAAACATTCACATTGGCGGTCGTCTACTATGGATTTTATCGTTCAAGCATGCAGAATCTCTTCATACACAAATTTACACGTCGTCCACTCCCCCCTCCACAAGGCACTTTCATCTCGCTTTTTTTTATATATATATATATGTATTCATCCCTCCACGCCCGCGCTACGTGTTTCATGTCGTTTCTTTATTTTTTGTGACGACTTTTACGGTTCAAAAGTGAACGAATGTGTTATCCGCCCATGGCAGATGCTGTATTCAGTATATATATATTTAGGTGTTGTATATATATAATAACGTAATTTATTCTACGATCACTTACTTGTGTGTGGATATACCCACAAGTGATTGGGTCTCGTATAGGACCATTATATATTATTTGTTCATGGCGGGATTTTCAATGCAGAATATAGGCAGCTGCCCGTCGCATCGCGTAAAAGATATATCCTTATATATATAGCGTGAAGTTTTGCCCATGGAATCTAAATTGCTAAATCATCGACGACTATATTGGATTCATGAGGAAAAACTGAGATGTTGCGGATGAGTGACGCGCATTGGAAAGAAAATTAATGCCATATATTTTAAGGACTGCGTCACACATATTTGTGACAAGGATATATAGTATGTAAGATTATTATATATATATATAGAGAGAGAGAAAAAAAAATAATATCTATTTCTATATACGCATACATAAATATATGTGCCATTCCATGAGTTTTTTTTATCACTTTTCGAAGTATAACCTTAATTTGTTGAGGTTACTCCGAAAAGTGATAAAAAAAACTCATGGAATGGCACATATATATTTTACGTTTAAAGTACAAAGTCCGGTGAGGACACATTTACCAAGCTTTTTGGTAAAAGTGAATAATCTGTCATTTACAGAAGAAATTATGTAGAGCTACCAAGAAAATTGGTGATTGTATATATATATGTCGTAGGGAAATAGAAGAATCCCGGGAGTAAGTCTACTTCCTAGGCAGTATATTAGGCTTACTGCTGGCAATTAGAGGAATTCACGTAGAAATCATTCACATTCATCTATTTGCGTAGGGAGTAATAACTTACTGCCTGATAAAGATTCGGCATTTAGACAACTTACATCGCCATCCGTATATTTATTTATGAATCAACCCAAAGTCGCAATTCAAAACAATGAATTTAATTAGATATAATACTAATAACTCCTAGATTTTCCTCGTCTAATATTCATAGTGTAAGACTTCATAGGTAGTGAAAAATTTGTATTTACAATTTACAAACGTCTTAGAACCGTTGAAGCAAACAGTAGTGATTTTATTCATTTTTAATTTCTATCGTTTTATTATTTTTTATATAAATTAATTACAATTATTAATAATGGAAGTTAATTCGGTGAATCGCTGTGAATTTGAAAAAATATTTAAAACGAAAGTGGAGGCTCAAACAGGAAATAGATCCGTGTGGAGTAAACAGCAATATGAAACAGTGAAATCAATTTTGATTAATGGAAATGAAAAAAAGTCAAAAAATTTCTATCATTACTCCAAAATGTATGAAATTCTGCAGATTGGTTCGGAGTGCAGTATAACGCGATGTACAAACGATGTAAATTGTCTAAATGCCGAATCTTTATCGGGCAGTAAGCCTACTGCCCAGCAGTAAGTTATTACTCTACGCAAATAGATGAATATGTGAATGATTTCTACGTGAATTCCTCTAATTGCCAGCAGTAAGCCTACTGCCTAGGAAATAGACTTACTCCCGGATTCTTCTATTTCCCTACAACATATATACGCACATTCATCATCAGCGTCGGTTGGTAAAATGTAGAAATGTTAAGTAAATAATTTTGTTAATTAATTTTTTAATTGTTATAAAATGTGATATTCTAATCATTAGTAACAAACAATTTTTGATATAATTAATTAAATAGTATAATTTTAATAAGAAAGTAGAAGTATATATATAGAAAAAGAAATACAAATATGTATATATATATATAAAAATTAAAATGTCAATTATATATATGAATCAAACTTTTACAAGAAACTGACTAATTCAAATAATTACTTTCGATAGTAATTTTTAAACATGCTTAAATTATAAAAATTATTAATTGTTACATATAAATTATAATAATATAATATTATATATAATCTCATTATATATCCGATTAGAATTATAATAAGTTAATAATAATAATTTTAATTATTTAATTATATATTATATCAGAAAAAGCAACGAGATGGTCGTCAATAACTAACTTTGGATCAAAAATGGTAATATGTATAGTTGCAAGCCGGAAAATCACTTATGCAATTCTGAGTGTCATGGCAGTGGCCTTGGCAAAAATAAAAAAATATATATTTTTCGTACGTAGCTAAACCATAATATCAATTTTTTTACTATTTAACCGAAACGATTTGGTGGATGTGCACATTTACCGGTTAAAGTGTACAAAAACAAAAAATTCTTATGCTTTTGTCACATGCACCTCTACCAAAAGTGATAATTCGGCGAATAATTATTCACATTAACCGCGTAATATATATATATTGTAAAGAAAAAGAAATATAAACATACCTATATATTTAGTTATTTAAATACTCACAAATTTTTTATATTTTTTGAATAAAATAGTAGATAAAGCAAATATGCAATATGCATATTATTAAACCGTATGGCAATACTATTATTATTGAGGTTAAAATTATATACATTTTCACGGCAGACAAGTTTCGCTGCTTTGAAAAAATATATGTATACTCTGTCTCACGAGAGAAAGACCCGCCGTTTGCGCATCGTATTTTAAAAGGGTGGAGTTAATAGTAAAAATGGAGTTTAAAAATTTTTTTCTTTAAAATTATAGCCAATAGTATTAGAAGGAATTTTCTGTCACAGTAAAAGTACGCTTGCATTACATGTGTTTCTAAGCCTTTAAAATCACACACACACACACACAATCCAAAGTGAGTCTCAATGAACCGAACTCAGGTCAGTTTTTAAAGGATTCCTTGCTTTTTTGCGATTCCAACGGTATGGCGTTTGTTATAAAAATGTTAAAATTTAAAAATTTTATAAACTTTTATTAAAAAATATGGAAAATTATATATGGTTGGAATCAGAAAAAATTGGAGATTTGGAATATGAAATTGTTAAATCAATTATTTAAAAACTTAAAAAAAGTTTTTTTCAATTTTAACATATGTTTGGGGCGCATCATAAACCGAGGATCCAAAAGGCCTGCGACCTTGAAGCAGAAAACCCTGGAGTACGAGTATATGTTAGTGTTAATATTTTTTGTGAACAAGACATATTGAAACATGAAATTTGACTGGTTTAGAGAAAAAATATTCCACGCCTTATTTTATGACATTCTGCGCGTAGAAAACCAAAATTTGATTTTACGAGGGTCTTTCTCTCGTGAGACAGAGTATATATATAGATTATAAGTTCGCTGGTCACCGCATTTGAGATTCCGTCGGCAAAAGTTTTTCTGCAAATTTGCATTTACAAACTACTATATACTACTATGGGGTATAAATTACAATTTATTACTCAGTTGGAGATCAGTTAGAAAGTCGATCTAACTTCTAAATTTATGTGTTTATACATATATGTATAAAATATGCGAATATATATATATTTGTAATATTCAGAGGATGATATTACGTAAAACCAAATTTTATATTTTATATTCACAGAAAAAATCTAGTCTCATTTTTGTTGCAACTCAAAATGATTCAATATGCTATATAAACAACGTATAGAAAGTGGCGCCACCAACCTAACTCCCAGAGAGACTCTTTAAAAGTCCCACCCTTTTGAAGATTAAGCAAAGGGAGTTGATGCTAAAGGAATAGTTAATTTTATGCCTAAGGAGTTAATCTAATGTTAATTCACTTTTGAAGTTCGATTTTTAACACCAAAATTTTACTCTCATCTAAGAGTAAATAAGTAAATAACAATAATAATTGATAATCTATAGTTAATAAGATATAATCCATAATGTTAAAATTCACTTTTGGAGTTGATTTTTAACTCCAATAATTTTACTCCCACCTTCGGTTGCCATTAACACTTATATATAGCAAATTTTTTATAAATAGTGTATGAATGATTGTTAACACAGTTTAATCGCAGTTATAATTGAAAAGTATCAAATTGATACCAATAAAATAATATCAAATTGATATCACAGTTAAAAAGAAGTGTTGTTTTTTGTTATAAAAAAAAACATTAACATACTTGTTATTTTAACCAAAGTTAAATTACATATAAGCACACAGAAAAAACTTGAACTCAAAATGAGTTCAATCAGACTCAATTTGAAGTGCAACAAAAATGAGTCCAATGCTATAAATGACATATAGAACGTGGCGCCACAACTGACTCATTTTTGTTTCACATAAAATTGAGTCTGAATTCAACTCATTTTGAGT